TACTGTAAGTGTCCAGGAAGCTTCTTAACTTTATATATTACATATGCCAGAAAAACTTAAATTAATTATTTAGATTTTTATGGGTTATAGTCCCTCCAAATCTTTTAATTATTGTAACTAAAAATAACTTTAAGGGAAAATATTACTTTTTTCTGCTTTACCTGTTGACAAAGGTCTATTTTACTAAACCAATCTATATTTTTGTGTATTAAAATGAATTTTATGGTATAATATGATCAATCTGTATGCTTAGTATCACTGTATTGTTTACAACAATGACAGCTTTTATTGAAGATCAAACCCACTTCGGGAACTTTTCTGTGGGTAACGTTTACAGGTTTTCAAACTTGATATGAAAAAACACTTTAAAATATTATGTTTTCTGTTGTTAATTAAAGGAAACATATACATAAATGAAATAATGCCCTGTATGTGATAGAAAGTAAAGGTTTCCATGATTCTGATGCGATGCAGAAAACAAGAACCTTATAAGAGCATTGCATTACCTCCTTTGTAGGAAAAGCATGTTGACAATTTTAATCAAAAACTGATCTTGCTCCCTTTCTCAGACTGAGCTGCTCTTGCCTTAGCTAGAAATGGGTTTGAGTTACAGAAATCTACATTAAGTTAAGATTAAGTTTCGTAATGCTGTACATGTTCACAAATATGCATGTGATCCCTTTGCAGTAGGCATTTATTTTAAGAAATATCTTTTCCCTTAAGTTTTCCTTGAGGTCTGCTACCTTGGAAACCATACAAACCAAAGGAAAAAAAAAGAAAAGCTCATAAAGGGACCCACCTATAAAAAATGTCAGATGAAGCAGACAGAAGGCCAGTCAGTGAGTTATGGAGTGTGACAAATGTTTCAGTATATGCTATGGTAAGACATGAACGTCAAGCAAGTAATTGAAACAGTAATGATCTGATTACAGAGGCAGAGGGGAAAGCACCGTGTGTGAGCAATGCGTAATGTGGGATGAGAGTAGAGTTTCCACACACTGGCTACTAATGTAAGGTTTACTCACTTCAGCAATAAAAACAAACTGTTAAACTCGCAACAGTCCTATACTGTCAGGAAGTATAAATTATTTTAAAAAGAAAAAAACTCAGCAATTGCTGTAGAAGGTTTGCGCTTTCTCTTTACGGTTTCTTCTTTCCTGATTTTCATTAAAATCTGAAAGTCTGGGTACGCATATGGCAATTTGCTGCCTCCTGAAGTCAATAAAAAGCAACAATTGAGTACTGGCTTTACAGTGCAGCAATTCAAGGTCTATTTTCTCCTTGCGATGTGGTCAGGCCCCTTCATTGCAAATGCACTCCAGATGACAGCCTGGTTCACAGTTATGAACTAAATAAAAGACTTCAGGACAAATTCTCCATCAAACCCGCTGCCCAAAATCAACCTCAATGAAGTTTAAGCAAGCAGTGGTCACTGCACATGTAGTCTTGGTTCACATGAGAGAGTAGACAGTGGGTGGGGAGTGTCATAGCAGCAAGACAACAGAATCTTAATGAAGTTAGTAAAACCAAAGTCATCTGAGAAATTTAACAAGATGTGTGCTGACCACATTGAGCGTATAAAACTAGGCCAAAGGTTAAAAAGTGGAATCCTTTTTAATAAGGTCCACTTTAAGATGGCAGGCATGCTTAGTATTATGATACAATGATACTAATTAGCTTTAGATGAGCATTTCCTGAAAGCTGTTATTATTGGCCAAGATGAAAAGATTAACATTGTAATTAGACAGAATTCATATTTGGCTTTAGCCATGAAGAAGTGTAATTAATAGTTACACTATTTCCATGAAAATGTAATATGGAGTAGACGAAGACAAGAGATCTTTTATTTCAGAAGTTACTAATTGCTTTCATTGTAATGCGTCTGCGGGGGTGTAACATTACAGATGATAAATAGATAATTTCTCTAACATAAAATGTAAAACTATGTTTAATTTCAATCTAGCAATCAAATAATAAATAAAAAGAAGCAGCTACAAAATTCAAAAATTTTCTTTGGAATGCAGGGGAGTCTGTAGATATCCACTTGCCAAGTGAAGGATCTGCTTCTAAATCACTGAATGATCTAGATATAACACTGTTGCATTGTTACTTCATGGAAAAAGATGGGCTAAGTTTTGGGTTACACATTTTAGAACTTTTGCACTGGTTATGACATTTCTAAAGATCTATTTAATTGCTACAATTAAATTTGAATACAACTGCATGTCGCTAGAATATATTGACAAGAACCGTGGAATCGAGAAACCACAGACAATAAATATCTGCAGTACGTCTAATGTGTCTAATCTGAAACATCCAACACTGTAATTTGCAAGATCCTCTTTAAAGTGGTAAGATTAACTTTTAAAATTATTAATTGTCTTCTTTGGAATTGTACCAATGCATCTGTCCCAAATACTACAATGAGCAGTGTAACTACAAAGAAACATCAGTAGAAAACAGGCTTCACTTCTGCTCAAGAAAATAAACTTTATTTGCCTGCCTTGTCTAAGAAAATTTCAAAGGTTCCACACAGGCATCAGTGCCTGAGCACAACATTCATTGTGGCATTGATTGGAAAACAGCTGTCAGAGCAGACGTGATGGTTGGAGTTTCACTGATATGTCTAAATAGCAACACTACATATTGTAGTTTTCAAGGCAATCGTGTCTGTTATATGTCATATAAAAGGATCTTTGGTAATTCTGTTTCATGATATTTAGATTATTGAGGGATAAATACAAATAAATCATGAGAACCAAACTGTAAAATATTAAAAGCACAAAATTAAAAGCATTTTTGATAGCCCAGTTATCAGACGTGTTAGGTGTATGTATAGCAGCCAATCTATATTTGAAACCCTTGTAGGTTACATTCCCATAATACATATATGTCATAAACAACAGTGAAAGGGCATGACACACCAACAGTGATTACCTCACACAACCAATGAGACATTTAACTCAGCTGGTTTCATCTGAATTCTTAAATATGATACTTTGCCACTTAGAATGTTTTTGACAATTTCCTGGTGTATAGTGCAAAGACAACAAACACCCTAAAATAAAGTCAGTATTCTATCACTGAAAATTTTCAAGCACGCAAAAGTGGAAAATGTTTCACTCCAAGGGGTGTATGGTAATATATTTCCCCTTACCTTGTATCAAAAATTAGATTAAAATGATTGAGTTGTATAATTCACAATATATTATGAAATGGCCTGTTATTTTTAATGAGTCTCGTGTTATAAAAACATATAATACTACTAGTTTCAGAAAAAATACAATATATAAATACCCTTATCATAGATATCAGTCCTTGGAACCAATCTTTCTATACATGTATTTAGTTTGCATAAGGATGTTCGGCAATGGCAATATTTCTCTGAAGATTGTTCTGTGAAATTTGCTCAGCCTTCATGCTTCAACTCACTGAATGTTGAATAGCGGATCCATTTTGCCTCTAGCAGCTGTCTAATTGAACCACCTGTAAATTGAAATAAGCAAACCTTTTCTATGTTATAGTGTTAGGTTTTTGACTCCAGTACAATTACTATTCAATGCATACCAGGCCTTAGAAGATTCATCTCATTATCTAAAAGCTATTTCAGAGAGCTGTGCCAAAATCCCAATGCAACATATCAAGGATGAGGAAGATATAAACCCTTTGAAAAGTGCAAAGCATGTCCCAGCATGAAGTTAAGCTCCTGCTAATTTATTTGGTACCTTTTTAAAAAAAAATCAATACTGATATTTTTTCATTAAGAACTTTATCATCCCAAGTCACAGTCCAAATGTTGTGTGTTGTTTTTCTCACAGGTTAATTAACAGTTCAGTGAAATAAAAAAAAATACCCAGTCAAGATGCTCATTACATCACAAGCATATTCCTCCTAATGGCAGAAAATTTTAAGAAGTAAAATCAATTATAAACGTTTCTACAAGATCTAGTTGTACGTGTTTAGAAAAGGGGTATTGTTATATTAAACTAGCAGAATATGGACAAATTGTATTTGGACATTTAATAGCCACAAAGGAATACCTCAAGACAACATTTGAAGATTGTTTTTTCATTGTGGTGTGCTAGTCCCAAGCTGTTTTTTCCCCAAATTTAATGTTTCTATTACAATTAATTACAACTAAATCTAAAAATAAATACCCCCCATGTTTGGTCTTGAAATTGTGTATATGTTCATAAAAATAGATAAATAAAGAGATCTGACTGGAACTACAAGATGAATTTAGCTCCTGGGACATATATGAACCTGTATTATTAAAATCTGGAACAGTCTAAGGTTACACAAGATTATAGTGGGTCATTATGAGATCTGAAAGAGAAAAATAATGCATTCTGATTTATATGAGCCTCAAAGTCTTTGCCTTCAGTGTCAACTACCTCACACATTACTACTTCTAATACTTGGTTAGTGCATTTAGATTAAAATGTCTTAAATGTTCCAATGGAAGAATGCCATACTTATTCAACATTATCATCTTTAAGGTATTTAACAGCCAGTATCTAATTCAGTTTTCTTTAATGCTGAAAGTGAAAGACTTAATTCTGCGGGTGTAATGCCAAGTTTGTTTCAAAAATAAAATATCATGGGGTAATAGATGAACCTTTTAGATTTGCCTTTGTGCTTACACTCATGGCTTAGATACTGTATGACTCAGAATTCTTACAGCAGAAGTTTATCTATGCTGGAGTTTGTACTCCTTTTTTTTAAATGAATAATCCATTTTTAACAAAATGCACACCGTTAATCCATCTATACTTCTTGGAAATTATGTACAAACCCTATTTTGGTTGCTTTTGATTACACATTAAAACAAATTACCTAGTCACTAAAAAAGTGGTTATGATAGCAATAAATACAAAATAGGAATCTGAGCATTATACTTCATGTGTGGGATTTTACCCATTTAAAAAAAATGTACATCAGACATACATTTAAAAATCATTTAAAGGAATAACTTTGATTAAAATATTTATTTTCCCAATTTTCTTAGTAGACATAAATATATTTATATATACTTTTTTTCAAAATAGCTGTTTTTATATAAATAAAGTCTTCATTGGGAAATAAAGTGTCCTCAACAATGCTGCTTTTGTCAACGGCAACCACAGCCCTCCACAACCATGTCCTGGTAGTTCTTTAATATAACTTTTTCATATTCATCAAGGTAGAGCAGAGAAATTGCGCTGAGTTCTGTAGGCACACAGCAGGCCTTGGGAATGTTTGTGTTAACTGAGTTGACTAAAGTTTGCACAATAGCATGATTTGTGGAGTTTAGGTGGTCTGCTAAAGGAAAAGGGCATTCTCCTTGGCAGTAAAAGGCATGATACCCTGGTGGGGCAACTATCCAGTCATTCCACCCAACATCACTGAAGTCCACGTATAGCTCATGTCTTTTGCAGCTGGCTTTAGGCCTCTTCTTCTGTCTTGGCTTGGTTTGCCGTTTCTCCCTTTTATGGAGAACGTGTCCCTTGCCATCATGGCTAAATGTCACTAATAAAGGCCTCATCTGAGGCCATGTTTCCTCATCCTCATGCAAAGACCTGCTGATCCTCACATGCCTCTTTGCTTCCCCCCCTTCATTGTCCAAATGGACAATCTCCACCATAAAACCATGGTTGGTAAGCCCTTCCATGGTCCATCGCATTATAGCAGGGCTCACATCAAAGCTCTCCCATTTGCTCTGGCTGTGTTGCACTAATCTAGTATCCAAAAGTCTTATTATAGGTTCCTTTGAGGAAAAGGCTGGTTTGAGAACTTCATAAATGTTAATGCGATGGTAACCACCACTGCTGTCTGTAATGGCACCTAGGACTTGATCTCGAAAAATCCTCAGTTCTGCAGCAGAGACTATTTCCTCCCCAGGAATGGATGTCAGGTTGAAGAAGAATTTCTGTGTTGTTTTTCCACCGATGCTCAAAAGTGCCTCCAAGGATTCTGGTCAAGAAAGAACATACCGTTATTTTGTTATAGTGCTGTTATTATGCTTCTGAATACTTTAAGGACATTTATACAAAAAAAAAGAGACTGTAGCAACATCAAAATCTATCATTTTTTGTTGATACCTATGGAAATTTTTGTATTTATCTTTTATCATAATATCATGATCAGTTCATCATACAATCAGTTCTTTTAAAACATTAATTTACTTTAAACAACTGCATATGGGTTTACAAACCACAATGATGATCATACAGATCTATTACGTGTATTGTTCTGAAAACTAATTTTAAACTTTTAAGAATCCTACCAATGTAGCTGTTACTACAACCTTAAGTACCATTGGTACAATCACTTAAATGATAGAAAAAACACTCAATGTTTGCTCTAAATAAGGGTAAAACTAGAATGTGTTGCAACTGTGAATTGAGTTGCAAACCTGGACCTACACCTAGCAAGAAGTGACAAATGCAAAATTAAATAACTTAACTCTGAACTTTGCAAACTTTTGAAGAGTGTAATTGATTTTAGATTGCAGTTGTCATTCTTTCTACATATAGCAATATAGATACTACATTGCCTGTCTTTTGGAAAAGTTTCACCTTGAGGAAAACCTGAAAATGGCAAAAATTATACTTCATACAACCTGCATAATCAAGTTTTAAATCATAAGACTTTAAGATAGACCACCTTATTAGATTTAACAAAAGTACTGTTCAATCTCTTCTCACAGTCAACAACGAATGGACATTCATTTTAATTTCAGATTATTCGCTAGGAAGAGTATAAAGACTCGTTCTCTAAAACAATCCAGAAACATGAAACATGGTGTAACCTACTAAGAGTTCATGTCAGTTTTAAAAGGCATAAAACCCCTACTCAAAACATACATAGAGGTTGACAGGTCCTAACTGAAAAGAGGTTTTATGAAGTTTGCTATCTGCAATGATAGCAAAGCAAAGATAATTCCAAATACTGAAAACAACAGCCATTTAAGGACTAACTACAATCATTTTCTTACAATTTCTAAATACCCTCATGTAGGGCACTCAGCGGCACCTCAGTGGTGACTTGGCACCTAAACATTTACTAAACTGTGATTATCTTTATGGCTAATTCTGCCCAGCAAACTTTGTATAAGCAGTCTTATTTCTCATTGATAACATATTTTTAATATAGAACTTACTCTGCTGTCACATATATTTTAGAAATGAAAATTTGTTGGCCTTATATGTTTAGAGCTTTATGATGGTGTGATAAATACTTTATCAATTTAATGCACAAAGTCATATTCAGATTTCTTGTCCATTACTTTATTGTACATAAATAAGGCACAGCAGAGGAGGAACATAGCTGAAATACAGATTTAAAACCTCTTACGGTTAAGAGTTAGTCCATACCAGAGTCACAGTGCCCCATTGAGCCAGAGCTTATCCTAGTTTCTGTAGCATTAAGTGGAATAACTAAGTGGAACAATCATCAATGCTGGTTCCTATTTATACAGATGGGTAGACTAGAGCAACTGAGGTAAAATGCCATCCTCAATGTACAACAGCAGCGTCAATGTGGAAGGACTTGAACCTAAAACCTGCCAATTAACTGTTTGGGATAGATTATACATTTTAATGTTTAAAACTGATGCTTTCCATTTGAATTGATCAGTGAATTCTCTTTTATAGTTTCTACATCAGTTGGTGACAAAATGTCTCAAAAAAGGAAAATTGGGGATGACTTAGTCATCCTTTTTTTGTGTCCGTTAATAGTGCATATTTCACTTTGGCCCAAATTCCTTGATAACTCATATCTCTGCTAAATACGTTTTGTGATTCAATAACCCAAGGCCTTACTGTTATCATCTTGCTACTTTTTTCAGACCATAGGTAAGTGTGAGAGTCAAATACACTGGAATGGCAAGGTGCTTCATTAACTTCTATTCATTAACTTATTCTAGAGCAAAACTGTAGTTGTGTGTCTTTAAAAAAGTGGCAAATTGCCACAACAGGTTTGTTGTTCCCTGCCAAGTACATGTCCTTCTAAGACCATTAACACTGCTCTTGGCTGTAGAGAGCACTGCCATGACTAACATCTGGTATTTAAATATTTATGATAAATTACATGCAGAAATGAAGATATTTCAAAAGAGGTGGCTGTGTATCACCAATGACTGAATAAAAGAAGCACCTGCCACACAAAGGTATGGTCTAGAAAAGAACTAACAAAAACAAACATTATGTATTTATGTACACATTTAAAATAAATAATTGGTTCTGTGGTCTCAATCCATTGTGTTCCGTTGGCTTCTGTTAAAAGTTTTGTCACATTTATAAAGAAAAATCTGAAATTGTCAAACAAATGCAGCATTAATGTACTGAAATCAAATCAAAGGAAAACTAAGCTGTGTACGCACAATGAGTGAACAACACTCCGGGTACACTGTTGCCTGACCTGAACATTTGATACTCAACAAACCGTTCGTGTAGGAGAAAATTGTTTTCAGAACCTGTACAGAAACAACATTAATAATTCAAGTACCTGTTAGAAGCAAGGCTGAGAACCACCCATCGGCTGGTACCAGTCTTATGCAATATGTGAAGAGGTCAGACAGTCAATGTTAAATGTTAAAATATTGGTGCAAGTAATCTATTTCCTTTGACATTGCTTACTTAAAGTGTGCAAAGTAGCATTGAGATGCCCATTCATTAGTAACCATGATTAAAAAGAATGCATCTGTTAAAGGTTTATGTCATTTTACTATGGAACTAAATAGTTTCCTATAAAACATTATATATCTTTTAGATCAACTTTTCTTTAGAAACGTGCTTTATCAGATAACCTCTTGAATCTAAAAATGTAAAACCTTTAAAATGTCCTTCCACATTTTCTTCTATGCTAAATTACCGATTTTAAATTACTAGAATACATGAAAGGCTAGATACATACAATGAGTATGTATTATCAATCTTTTTACACTAAGACAAATCAAGGGTTGATATTTGTATCGAGATATCTAACTCCATCGTTATTTTTAGCACTCGCTGAAACCAACCGTACATTGCAAACTGTCCATGAATATTTACAAATTTGGATATCACAAGTTACATACCAATTTTCGGTCATTTACAATGTTCAATTTAAGTAAGCAGAGGCTACAAAAGAACATTTCCAGTGAGCGAAAGTAATGTCATACCTGTTGAAGACGAAGCTTGGCATTAAACAGTTTTAAATCGACACATACAGAAATTTCATATAACCCGTTCTGTTTAAAGTGCTTTCGAAATCACCCAAAGTAAATGAAATGTGTTAAAGATAATGTGACATCCATTACCCTAGGTACCTCCTGTTTAAGACAAAAAAAGAACTCTTCTTCGGGGAGAAACTCTTACCTTCATGGTGAAAACTCCTAATTGTATTCGCTCTGCTGGCAGACCTTTCCGAATACTGGCCCAGCACTGATCTGGAGCGGTTGGGGTCCTGATCTCCATTCCCTGAATGCATGTGATAGAGGTCCACCATGTACTGCGGGACCACCGCAAGCTTGCTTGGAGTTGGTCTGCGCTTCAGTCCAAACATATTAAGGAGGCGAAGCTCGAATTCGTTAAGAACGTCCTCCGATTGCTGCGTGCTTTGCCGAGACGATTCGCTGAACTTCCTTCGGCCAACCTCCGGAATAAGTCCGACCGAACCTCCGAGCAACACCTGACAGAGCAGCAGCACCATGAGAGCACGGACCCCGGCGACCATGATCAATCTGTGCCGGAGAGAAAAAAGCGGTGTGTCAGTACCTGAGTGTTGTTATCACATGTACGGTATTGATAGTTTAAGTAAAAAATGTTTACCACAAGATATGGCCATGCGAACAGTAAAATGTTTTCTTTCCAGAGGAAGAATTTAAAGCAAGCATGTTAAAAGACATTATACTTTGATGTGAGGAACAAAAACAAATTTTGGAAATGATATTCCCGCTGGCCACGATAAATAAAATGGGAGACTGATAAGAACATAATAAAGGGGCATAGGTTAAACACGCAATAAGGGAGGGGGTATATAAAAGAACACAGTCGATTTAACTAAAAAGATAAAACGGTTTTAAAAAAAATCAAAGGAGATGAATGAGAAGGAGGAAAAGAAGGCAGACAAGAAGGCGCAACTGCGCAAAGATAAGACTCAAAAAATGAAAAGACAGGAATCGTCTTTATAAGCTTAAAAAAATGCAAGAATCATAAAAGAATATAGCGATCAAAAAGATAAATAGCTATGGCGAGTGAAGGGAAAGAACAATACTGAAAAGGAGTGTTACACGTGTGTAGTTGTTGAAGCTGTTTACGTGAAGGTGTTGTGTCTGGAATAGGATTAGATCATAGAGTTACTGAGAGACAGCCACACAGGTGTTAAATCTAACGTGCTTCCACTGGCCACCACAAATCAAAGGCGAAAAACAAAAAGCAAAAACAACTACCTTTAAGAAAGTGGTGATCGACTAAGAAGCACTCTCTGACACGTCCATTGAAACAGTTTCCACATGGAAAAAAACCCCAGAAATATGCGTATATATCCCGAATGCACTCCTTTTTAAAACAGAAGCCAATGCCTTCTGGCTGGATCTTTCGTGGTCATAATCAGCGTCCTCTTTTGCCTGCCCTTTTCAACCTTCCTTATAGGTGTTTTCTTTACAAGTGCAGCTCGCAGGATAAAGTCCAGGTAAAATTAAACTCACGATTGATTAGGAAGTACACTGTTGATGGTGGTATCTTTACTTCTCCCCATTACGGATCCGATTCCCTGTGGACCAACCAAAGGTGTTTTTTAAGTCTGCAGTTACCTATAAGGAAGTGCTCTGTCCGATCGCTGGTTTTCCTGCTTTGTAGTCCGATATTTTCCACATTACTTAGTGTTATTCCACACAGCTATTCTGCAGAAAACAGAAAGCCTCCACAGTACAGCCCGCCTCTTCTTACACATATTCTCAGCAGCTGTGAAGTCGGCAGGCGAGAAAGAATCGAGTCAGATTACTGATACGAAAATATCACTTGAGATTAACCAGAAAAAACGTAAATACAAATAGGCAAAACCTAATTCCTTAAAGTGTCATCTTTGATAATCATTAAAACAACAGTAAAATTAAAGTTACGGGAGTTTTACGGTAGGGTATACTGCCGCTCATTACAAACTACAAAGATAACTTTCGGAGCGTCTCCCCGATTTAGCGTGCAATGGTTCAGTACAATTGATAGAAGCTTTTTTTTATGCGTCCTTTTGTTGCTCAGTGATGTCACTACCACAAGCCTGTCAATCATGCACCAAAGGCACCTCCTGTACTTGTTGGAGTAAATTCTAGTCCTGAAGCTCTACATAAGGTTAAAGAAGTTCTGTATCTGCGAACGGATTTTTAATCTGCTGAATTTTGTCAGTTTAGGAAGTTTTTAAGGCTTGTTATCAAGCAAGACTTTGAAACTGACAAAGACTATGGATATCCCTTCTAGATCCAAATAAACTATGCAACTTCTAAGTTTTTATTAAAAAGTTCAAAATCCTAATCACTTGCGACGTTACACATGGATAATTACCACTTGAGTAAAGCAACTTTACTTTAAATTATAAATACAATATAAAAAATGAAAATGGCAATATCAATTCAAATCAGAGAAAATTACACATTGTAACTATATTGCATAAACTGTACTAGATTAAATGTTTCCTAGAATATTCTTAAAGCTATTTTTAATATCACAAAAAAGCCTATGTATGCTAACTGTAAAGCCAATGTTTAGTGTATAAATATATAAATTCAGTTGTTCTTTTCCAGACCACAACATTTCTTTACCGAGAGAAAAGGTCCTTCGAAACTAAGCACAAATTCGATCAAAACATGGCACAGCAAAACTGCAAAATTATCTTTTATTAAGTAACAAAAGAAAAACATCTGGGTTATAAGAAATCATAACATTAATTTACAGTGGACGAAATAGACTCTTTCCTCGTGGGTGATACGACTGAACATTTACGAAACGGTGTTAAGACTGAGAAATGTTTTTTTTTTTCTCTGTTGTGTGGTTGTCCCCTGTAAAGAACCATTCGTTATGTTGCGGATTTGTTTTTCGTTTCTGTAAAGTGTTAAAAACTCAACAAAGTTAACATATATAGACGTTTGCAACGCTGTTTACAGGGAGTTCAAAATTGTAAGAATCTGAAAGGAAATGTCAAAATTAGATACAGTGCGCCAACTTGTGGAGAGATTTAAAAAGTGTGATCACATGTGTATTAAACAAAGATTCATTGTATATTTTTCTCAGATAAAAAGTAAAATAATTTGAGTCTCGCATTACACAAATCGGATTATCCTCGGAACTGCTACTGCTTCGCCCCCCGATCCTCCCCCCCACCATGGACGTGTAGAATACCGGTAGTTAGCAAAAGCTTGTTAAAACTGAACAAGGAAAGCACATGCATGCATACCTTTACATATTTAAATTACTGCAGTCACAGAAACATCAAGAGGAATAACAACGATGTATTAGAGCTTTAAAGTTTATTGACTTTGAATTCAAATTCTTTAAAACTGACCAAATAACGAATGTATTAGCAAACTGTAATAAAATACAGTAAACATACCTCAAGAGCACCCATACTTATTTAAGTAAAGGGTTTTAAGAATGGATAAGAGCAATACAGACAGGTAATACACACTTAACGAAAACGCGCAGAATAAAGACAGGCTGTGAAGTTAATTCAGCTGCTTTACCTACGTTGAGGAAACTGTGAACCAGTGGACCAGATTCGGCACATTTAATCAAGATCTTCTCTTAGAGAAATGGGAAGATCTCCTCTCCTTTCCTTTCAGTCACAAATGAATAAAAAGTAGCATTGGGGCAAAACATAGGCCTACCTAAAGGCAGAACTAATTATTTTCAGGGAGATACAATTTGACTGTTAAGATGAAAACCATCTGACTGCTTAGTTCGCATTTAAAGGATTCAAATTTTGAAACCTATTTTTTTTAATTAGGTTTTGTGACCTAGCCAGTCACCATCAACTACTAAAAACAACTTCTGACGCCGGTATTACTTCACTTTTTATGTCACTTTATTCAGCACCTCTTTTAAATGGAAGCAGAGAAAAAAAATATATAAATGTAGTTATGTTTTGGTCTGTAATCATATCTACTTTACAATTCAGAAAAACGATTTACAGAGGCTGTTAAGATAAGATTAAATTGTCAATTGCTAATTTAAAACTTTTATCAGGTAAAATAAGATATTCAGACCCAATAGTTTGATTTCGGGAGTTCTTGATTATTACAATATTAATAAAAATAATCAATCTTGATCGATCCCGTTTTATCCGTGATAAACGCTAACCATGCGATATTCTGTATTTAGAAGTAGGTTAACTTGTTAAAAATTGTTAATCTAAATTCAAAACGTTACATTGTATGAATTACCTGCATCCACACTCATCCACTATCATATCTTCGTAATGCCTTAATACAACATTGTCGTTGTTATCATAGTACAGCATTGAAATAGGAGACAATTTAATAGGAACACAGCAAGGTTGAGGGGTACCATTTGGGTCGAAGGAATGGAGTAGAGTTTGTAAAATTGCGTGGTTAGTACCATTAAGACTTTCACTTAAGGGAAATGGGCATTCTCCATGACAATAATTAGCCATGTACCCCTGAGGAGCAATTATCCAATCTTGCCAACCTACATCCTTGAAATCAATGTACAGTCGCCTTGGTTTACAAATGTTGCTAGGAGTTACAGGCAGATAATAGGCACTTCTTTTTATTCTAGATCTGCACTGATGGGGGTTCAAAGAAACAACGATCAGTGACGTGTAAAACTGAGGTAGAGTTCCAATAAAATTATGCCCAATGTCATTTCCTGAATTCGGCAATTTAAAAGGGTCCATGCCGTTACTTGGATCACTGGGATGAATAGCAAGAACAAGCCCATAGTTTTTATCGGGTTTTCTCCAGGCCTCTGCGACAGCCGTCAAGTCCAACGTGATGGATCCAGGAACAAGTTGAAAAGTCTGTGACAGCAGCAGCTTCCGATTGGATTTGCGCGACATTCCTTTCAATGCTGTCTTCTGAACTTTGTATAGTGAGATAATGAATATGGGTGGATTTATCGAGAATCGACGTAAATTCTGGTTGAATTTTATTTCCAGCTGAGCCAACGTGAGCTTCTCAACCTCTTCAAGCACAGAAACATTGAAGTAAATGTGCTTTTCTACACACGTTGAACACTGGCGGCTTGATCCAGAAATTACTCTACCTACAAAAAAACAACAACAACGTTTATCAGCGTAAATTGCAGCAAAACATACAATTATCAAAGTCATGTTAAAATGATTAATGAAATTCCTCAAAAGACTCTTACATAGATAGGGTAATAAATATGAACATATCAAAATTAAACAACTATTTAACGTTTTTTGAAACAATAACGTCGATCTTTTAAATAAGGAATGACGAAAATAGTAAACATAATACAGTGCAGGTTATACGACATTCACATTGCAACAAGAAGTGAGAAAATACCTTGGTCCTGAATAAATCGCACGATATTTCCACGGACATCGAATTCTGATATCCTGCAGGAATCATTTTCTGCTTCAAGGGATGGCTTGGAGCTCGTCTTTGTCTTGAACATTTTCCATAATAAGGAAGGTACTGCTAAATTGTCTGAAGGCTTTGGGCGGCTAGAAAGACCCAATGAATTCAGAAACCACTTTTCTTGTTTTCTCAAATCTTCAGACTTGCCTCCGTAGCAAAAACCAAGAAAGAACGTAAGAACTATAGCTTTTAAAATTACAACGTACATACTGTATTTCTTAAGGTTTCTTTAAACCGAATGAGGTTATGAAAAAAAAACAGAGTTAACTGTTTCACCCATGTGTTCCCGATAAAAACTAAGTCAAACCAACGGCGTTTGCAGGAGATTGATTAAGAGGTGTTAATTGCAGGATAAAATCTTGTGTTCTATTGGCTATATTCAATTGTCAATCAGTAGTCCTACAATGTACAACGGGAGAACGCACACCTCGGGGTTTACAAAAAGCTGTGAACATGCAAGTGGAATCTAATTAACCCCCCCTTTGTGCTAGTGGAGCACTTTTGTTCTCAACTGAAACTCCAGCGGGAGTTTTTTTCAGTAACAAGATAATGTAAAATACTGTGGGAATGGCCGTGTTTTTGTAAGGTTGTAGGCCTAATACCCGAACAAACCCGCTACTAGCCACATCAAGTTCCGGTAAGATGTAGCTCCGGATAAAGCAATAGGGTGTGTAAAATAGCGCTTTGGACCACGGAATCTAGTTCATGTGACAATGGGTCATATTTAAATAATTACAGGCTAAAAATGGTTGGTTTGAAATTTCCCTGCTTTGAAAAGTCGAGGTCTTAACTCTCTTCCTCCTGCTATTGCTGAATGTGTCGACACAGTAAAAAACATATATTCTATAATTCTTAATTATGCATAAAACTCATGTTTCCATATTCACGTTCATCAAATACTAGCCTTTTATTTTTAAAAGTCAAACCCCAACGTAGGAGGGATGTACTATTTGGGTACGTTGGGTACAAAGAGTTTTAGATTCGCACTGTTGATTGCAATTTGTATGCTTATCCTTCATCTTGTAAGCGTAGTAATGCTAATTGTTAATCTTCATGTTTATGCAACAGATGTATTAACATTTACATGTTTCATAGCTTTAGGAATACCAATTATACGGAGTTTGTCGTCGTAGGTCATCTTTAAATTGTAGACTTAATTTAATAAACACTGCATATTAATAGGGTTTTTATTCTGCTTAGGTTGATAAATGAAATGGTCGGGGAAATTTGTCGTTTAAGTTACAGGTGTGTCTGGGGAAGGTGTTAACGTTTTAAGTGAGTAGTTCCTTATTTATAAATAGGAGGTCTATCATATGCTTATTAAATATCCTCTATTTTTTAAACTTGTATGCTTCAAGATGTCAACAGTTGACAACTTAAAAAGCCTCTTTTTAAGAACTTTATGTAAATTTATTTCTCCTCCTGGTATTTTAAATGTGTTTAATTTATCCATTTGTGTCCCTGCTTACCTAACTTGGATTTATCTGTGGGACAAATTTGTTCTGAGCCACCAATTCTTTATTAATTTCAAATCATTCCTGTCCCAATGCACTTTTTATGCTGCTTTATATCTGATGCTACATAATGTTGTTTATAAAACCTTTGACAACAGTAGTAAGGCTTATAGATCTATTGCTCCACTCACAGAGCTGTTTTTAGTGAGTTACATTAATCAGATTTGCTGCACTTTTATATTGATGCTGACATATATTTTAAAAATTAATGTAGACCAGCAGCTACAAAATGCCACCTCTCCATGTGCAATGCTTGTGTTTCTGTTGAGGGTGAAATAACCAGCACATCCATTTTTAATGTGATTTTCTTATTTTTCTTATACCATTATTCAAATATTATTCCTTCAAAACTAATTGATATTAGATGTTGGTCTAATTGAGTCAAGTCTGCATCTAATATACAGTACATATGACACAAACAGGACAAATGTCAAAATCTGAAAGTTCTCAGCATGCCTTGCAAAGCTTTTAAGTGCAGGAAAAAAAAAGATGCTTGATTTTTTTTCCATGCTGCTTGAACTATCAGCATAGCAGCAGATAAGATCAGTTATGTGTGCTGGGGTAGAATTTTACATTAACGGGGTCATATAATCAATGCTTGTGTTGACAATAATAAATTTGAGGAGCACGTTTTCACAAAACTCAAACTGCTGCACGAATGTAATACACAGATGTAAAGAAAATAAGGATGGTAAGTTAAACTACTTTTAAAGATGCAGTGAAAAGAAAGGTCTTTATGCAAGTTTTAAAATTTTCAGCATTCACCAGGCCTCAAAAGAAACGTAGCTATGCATTTCACAGACATGGTGCTGCACACAAGAAGGCACTATTAAGCATTATCCAGAGCCTTGCTTATTCTAGTAAAACACTTGGACAACACTTTGGAAGTAAGTCCTTTAAGATAGGTTTGAGGTAGATTAAAGCCTTATATGTGAAAAGATGAACATTGCTATAAAATTGTGTGCGTAAAAAAGTCATGTAGGCTTTGTAATTGGTTTCAATATATTTACACATTTCTGAGTTTCAGGAGTATCATTGTTCAGGGGTGTTTCCTGAAATGTAACCTCTGCAGGACGAAAAAACACTCATTTTTGGGAGTGTCTGCTATTCTGTCGTTATCCTTGTGAATTGATCAATTTGTAAGAGCCGTTACTCAGAAGCACTGGCCTACAAGCTGAGGTGTGGTTATGTTCTTTCTGTAGAATTTCCTGGAGACGTTATCTTTGAAGTAGGTGATTTGACACTGGTGATTGATTGGGCGGGGGGGAGTTAAAAGTGGGCAATAATGGTTACTGTCTTTACATACACCGATTATCACATTAATTATCATAGTTCAGTGCTAATAGCCCGTAACCTTCCTTAGTTTTCATTCACCACTGCTTACAAAATGCTTAATTATTTTGTCTGCCTTAATTATCATTTTGTCATACTATTGGGGAGAGAACATTACTTCAATGCTTTCTGCAAGGAATTGCACATTTACACCTACTGCACAACTGGGAATATACTGTACAAGAGTGCTGAATTATTTTATTTTGGGTCTAGAATTTGATGGAAATTACCCACTTCAGATGGGATGTTATTCATACCTACAGTACCACCCAGAATAATTCAAGATTAATTTAATATAACAATCTGCTTGATTGTTCCTAAATCTTTTTAGGGTTGCTAGTAGTGCTATTTTTTTTTACTAAATATATTATTCAAACCTAAAATAAAATCTCAGTTATATCATCCTTGTTTAAGAGAAAGGAAGGAAAGCATTTTTGATCATATAAAAAGTCGAATTGGTAAAATAGTGTTACACTGTTGGAAATACATTTTCAGTTTTAGAACAAAAACTGTTCTCAACATTTGCAAAAGATTGTATCAGTAGTATTTTATTTTTTTATAGTCCACAATTAATTTGTATGTATAATATCAATTCAAAAGAGCTATTCAACGGTTGTGAAAAAAGCTTCTTGTTTGGGATTTATTGTTTTTGTGTTTGCGAAATAGGTTCCATACAGTTTTAGTTTCAAAAGAGATGGTATATGGACTTTGAGTAAAAAAATTTCCATGAAGACATCTTAATTGGGTAAAGTAAGCAATATTATTTTACCACATGAAATATTCTACAAACTGATAAAATAGACTAAATTGTTTCAATTCTGATACTATTATAAAGGCTTTCATTTTTAAAGTATCACAGGAGTATGTGACAGAGGACATGATTTTAAGCTTCCCACTTACTCAATCCTTTTGGCTGGAAAAGAACAAAAGACATTATGCTTTGAATTCTTCGAAAATTGATAATTCTCTTGGGTTCAAGACTGATATTAGATTTGTTTCTACATTTTTATGGAGAATATCTGGTGAAGACCATGTATTATGTCACAGTGCATCTAATGGTGAAGAATACACATTACATTCCGGCATCATTCATGAAATAAGTCTTTCTTTCCACCAAAGGTAGGTTTTTAAACCTTGCCTTGCACTGCTTCCACTCAGAGCTGCACTTTCGCTTGGATATTCAGAGAAATGCGTAAAGTTAAAATTCACTATGCAAGATCATTTTTAGCTTAGGGTTGTGGTTTCAAAACGTGCAACAATAAAACCCACAGGGCAGTCTGTTGCATGAACCTTGCTGATCATTGCAGTAAGGATGAAGGTCCAAACATCCCGGTTCTAGTAAGTGTTAAACTGAATCATCCATATTGAAACTAAAGAAAGAACATTTTATTGATATGGCAATTGGAAAATTTACAGAAATATCGGCTCAACTTTGTTTTTATGCGGAGAGAGCCAAGAGCCACTTGCTATGTTTTCTGGGTACTGTAGGTTTTCCTTTCAATTTGTTAGCTTGATACTTTTGCAATTTGCATGTGTTTCTGTGCAAGATAATTCTGCTGGGGGAAGTATTACAGGAATGTATGTGTTAGGATCCTATGAGAGGCATTTCATTAGCCCAAAGCATGGATTGATTCTGGAGTTTAGTCAGAAAATAGGATTTAAAACATGGCCAAATGAAGTAATGTAAAGTTACATGCAGACCTTTAGTTTGACTTGCTTATTTTGTGCATCCACCCTTTTATTTAATGCAAGTATTAACTCCAGTTGTTTCATTTTTATTTTCTAGTATTATTTTGGCTGCAACAGAACACCTTTGAAAGATCTTATTTCTTTGAATCAACATGGCTAAATAATGGTATACTTAAATTAATGGTGTGGGATAATGTTTATTACACCTTTTTCTTGTGGAAAAAAAAACGTGTTAATATAAGTTACAGAAACGTAATGTTAAGTATTTAGACTGTTAAAGGAATTAAAGCAGAAAAAAAACATTGAAAAAAAGCTACAAGTGAAATCTTACATCATCTTTACTTTAATCCAGTTAATTAAAACTCAAGCACAAGGTTAAAATTAGACTAAAAAGGGGGATATTTTGAGACCAGGCATTTATCTTTATTAAAGGCTTAAGATCTCAAATTGCTTTTTAACTGCACACCAACGCAGATCTTACATGCCAAAATGCAGAGTAGATGCTTGAATAAATGCAAAAACCATAATTACATATGTACCTCAAGATGCTGAAGTCAAAACTTCCAGGACTACAGTTTAACCTTTAGTTGGGTGCAGGTGGAAAATCAATACAAGTTTAAATAACAGTATTGCATTTTCATATTTAAATATGCATTTGTGTCCCAGCCATATAATATTGAGTATCCTCAAATACTTCAGCCTGTGGCCATATTATAAGGGTCAGTTGTATTTGCAACACCCCAGAAAGACCACCAATGTCAACTTAACATATGTACCTTTTTGTTTTGGCCTGCTCCATATTTGATGTCCAAAGATATAGTTTTGTATATGGTGTAATTATATGGAGATATGTAGCATATAAAATATGTAAAAAAGTTGAAATATAACATGTTTTACTGATGCTGTAGCAATGCGTTTCATTGTAGGTCTTGAGAAAGATGCATTATAAATGTATTAACATCTTATGTTGCTCATGTAAAGGTGAAATGGGATAAACTAATTTCACGTGGTCATTTCCAAAATTTTCTAAAGGGCAATTTGCTCCCAATTTCTAAAAAAATCTTAAAAATATGTAGGTTCAGATAAAGTATATACAGAAAATATTTTCCCTTATATGTATTTACCCAAAAGTTATTTG